AAGCTCGTTCCCCTTTTTCAGAATCGGTAAACCTTTGCCTAGTTTCACTACTTCATCACTCATTGTTGAAATCACATTTTCAGGTAACTTTTTATTAATTACATAATATATTAGATCTTTCTTTACGAGTTTTTGTAACTCGTTGACTAATTGTTGCTGCATCATGGATCTGTTGTTAAATCTGTTAAAGACGGTGCCACATGCCACACCGCACACGTCTAATTATTATGTCTCACTGTTAAAAGGTAAGTTTGTGTATTTACAAAAGTCAGTTGCCATTTTTATTTAATTTACCAAATTGTTGATTGGGACTTTTTTATCACATAACAATCAAACCAACGTGGCGAAATAATTCTGAAACGACGAGCTTTAAGTACCTAATATTGATTCCAAATGAATTTAAAATTACTATTATAAACTTGTGTCCCCCTCGAAAACAAAATCGACGGGTCTGAGCGTTTTTCCAAAAAAAAACTGAGCTGCCAGTAAATGCGTCTGTTTCGTTTTCAATGCGCCACCCTGTATAAGGCTGATGAACGTTTACGTGTGCAATTCATGCGATTGCCAAGACTAACGATTATTCCTTACTTTCTAAGTTGTGCAATAGGTTGCACATTTTTCGAGCAGGCTTTGAATAGTTAACATTTGTTTTACTAGTCCATACCTAAAAGGCAGAAAAACTCTAATTTAAAATATATTTCACTTTGACAGAGGCTGTCCGACATGTTTGGCCCAAAGATTGATATGCTTCGACGTGATACCATTTGTAAACAGCAGCTGACAGCAGCATAACCTCTCAAACGTTTAAACACATAAACGTGACTTCTACTAGTTAACATGGAAAATATATTAATTATCGTTATTGTATCGTCCAAGAATGTGAAAGCACACCGATAAAGACCCCAGACAAGCTGCGGATCAGACTGTCCAAGGAAATACTGCTGTGTATTGCTTGGAGCATACCTTTTGTTCGGGACATTTTACTGCGCAGGTTTAATTGTCTCGTTTAAGTTGGGCGTAATCTACGGCATAATCGTGACCCTTGCAGATGTGTGAGAAGAAATACAATATTACATACAATTATCCACAGGCTTTGACACACGAGGCTTAGTTTTGAATTACTTCTGAAAGAGATGTTATGTAAGCGCATCTCCTATTATCTCTTTTTATGTCTATCATTATATTAGATGCACTGTACTTACTTAGAAGTCTTGATGTTTCTCAGCTCAGCAGAGCAGAAGTCTGGGTTGGTCGCAAAAAATTACCAACCAATGTGTCAATTTTCGGCAAATTTTTGCTCTCTGAATTTACGAATCCAATGTCCATGATAGCTTTTTTCAATAAAACGAGATGACGATATCCTTGATCAGGAATATTTTAATAATACTTAGAGAATACAATGTAAGTCCACGGGTGCAATAGGGATGCCGTGTCTTTGTTTACAATTTGTATGACATCATATGTCCGACAGTACTTTTACCGTTTAAACCTAAGAATAAAAATGTGTTTTATCGAATTGGTGCTTACAAAAATTGGAATCGATATATTTCGTTTTTCTAATCCAAATTAAATTGGATATGAGTCAAGTTAAGTTGTCATCGCATTACAGTGTGGCAAACTTAAATGGTTACGGATATCCAGCTGTTGATCAAAAAATCTTTTACTGAGATTTTTGTAAGAAATATTACGCATGTAATAGTTATCGTGACCTATGTCAAAATATAAATGAATTGTAGTCAAGCAAATTTGACTGGACTCAGGGCTCTGGCAGCGTGACGTGAACCTAGATATATGCTTCAGGACACAATTCATACTGCTGGATCTAACATGTCCTTGTAAAATTCGCCTCGAACTTGGATAGGCCATTCCGCACTGCGGTAAATACTTAGAAGTAAATTGTCACATCCGAATGCCAAAGGCGAATATACCTATAGCATACCAAGTGTAAATACCTGAAGAATCGCGTATTTGACCTTTTTTCTATTACTTCGAAGATTGGTGAATCAGTGTCAAGATAAAGCAGAATCGTACAATAACGGCTGAGAAATATCTCTGTAGACATTTCAACTACTATATTATGAGTAACAAATGCCAATAGATCTTAAAACCGATGAGATATTCCTAACAAACCACAAAAATCGATTTACAAGTATTTTTTTGGGCTCAGTAGCCGTATAATATAAGACGATTTTTGGGTTCCTTCCACCATTCTGAAATGGAGTTATTAATGCTAGATTCAAATTAATAACATCCCTGATCGCATTTAAATAACGACATAAAGAAATTTCCACATTGTAGGTACCTATAGCTAGTATGTTTTGTGCCTTTTCTGGAAATATAGTGAATTGTAACGTAATAACATAATAACCTAACCAAGTGTACATTCATGAGCATTGAGGTACTTGATCATTTTCCTATTACTTAGCAGGTTTGTGAATCAGTGTCATGATATAGAAGAATTTTACATTAACAATTGGGAAAAATCGTTGTAGACACTTTAACCACTATATGTGCAACAAATGTCAATAGATCTTAAAACCGATGAGACATTCCTAACAAACCACAAAAATCGTTTTACAAATATTTTTGGAAACTTTTGGGGTCAGTAGCCGTGTAAGAATGTATAAAATATGAAGATATTTTGGTTGCTTCTTCCATTCCGAAATGGAGTTAGGAAGGTTAAATACAAATCGATAACGTCCCAGATCGCATTTAAATAATGACAAAGACATTTCCACATAGTCCGTACGTATAGCTAGGATGTTTTGTGCCTTTTCTCCAAATAACGTTAATTGTAACGTAATAATATAATAAATCGGTACCAGATATCATATCTCAAAGGTCACGCTGCCAAGTATTGTAACGTAATAACATAACAAATTGGTATCAAACAACCAAACCTAACCAAGTGTACATCCATGCACATTCACTGTGAATCAGTGTCATGATATAGAAGAATTTTACACTAACAACTGGGAAAGATCTCTGTACACACTTTAACCACTATATGTGTAACAAATGTCAATAGATCTTAAAACCAATGAGACATTCCTAACAAACCACTAAAAACGATTTACAAATACCTTTGGAGACTTTTGGGCCCAGTAGTCGTATAAAAATGTATGAAATATGACAATTTTTTTACTCTTCCCTCCATTCTGAAGTGGAGTTAGGAAGGTTAGATACAAATCGTTAACGCCCCTGGTCGCATTTAAATAACGACAAGAAACTTCCAAACAGTACGTACCTATAGCTAGTATGTTTTGTGCCTTTTCTGTAAATATAGTGCATTGTATCGTAGTACAATAATAGATCGGTATGACACAACCAAACCAAACTAAACCAAACCAATTGTACGTTCATGAACACTGACGTACTTGATCATTTTCTTATTACCTCGCAGATTTGTGAGTCAGTGTCATGATATAGAAGAATTTTACAATACCAACTGGGAAAGATCTCTGTAGATACTTTTACCACTATATGTGTAACAAATATCAATGTATCTTAGAACCAATGAGACATTTCTAACAAACCACAAAAATCAATTTACAAATATTTTTGGAGACTTTTGGGCTCAGTAGCCGTATAAAAATGTATGAAATATGACAATATTTTGATTTCTCCCTCCTTTCTGAAATGGAGTTAGGAAGGTTAGGTACAAATCGATAGCGTCCCTGGCCGCATTTAAATAACGATATAAAGAAATTTCCACATATTACGTACCCATAGCTAGTATGTTTTGTACCTTCTCTGCAAATATAGTGAATTGTAATATAATAATATAATAGATCGATATCCGATATGAAGTATTAACGGTGACGCTGATAAGGAAGAACAGCAATATCTCAAAAGTCATCCAGTTTCCAAAACTGTCCGTGTAGACTCTTAATATAGATTTTGTTGTCTTATATGCTTTTTATCAGCATATTAATAAACACACCTTGATTTAATTATTATTTGTTCTTAATACGTACATGCACCAGTGACGTATAGATTTTTAAGAGAGCGAGAGACCTCATGCAGCTTCAGCACACTATCTAAAGCAGTTCACACACTAAGTTAAGGCTATATGAGACATCTACCCCTTTTTACAATATTGATTTTTACATTTAAATGCATGAAACTCAAAATATTTCTTCATCTTGGATACTTAAAGTACCATCTATATCTGGCCAGTTTTCTCATAACTCTGCCAGATCTTGTTCTCAAAGTATTGTTGTTTACATAGGGTTTATTGTCACAGTTCTGGTTACTAGATTCAATCGAGATTGAAACAGTCGTTCGCTTATTATGATCATTGGATTCGAAATCATTACGTCGTGACTCTGTTCCTCTTAAGGAGCAAGGTCCAGACCAAATATTATCAAATTCATCTTATGATTGTACTGGAGGATTCTCGTTAGGAGAATGTCTTAAAAATGAAGAATTCCTTCTTGAAACTCTTCCAAGGTTGGCACGCATCATGTAAGACCTAGGGCTACCACATTTACCTACTATCTCCCCTGGTACCCAGTATTTTTCTCGATCTGACCTGATTATAACACTGTCTCCTTGCTTGAAGTCTGAACTATATTTTGCAGTACTGTCATAATGAATTTTGTTTTTAAATCTTTTTTTCAGAAAGCCTCTGACTATCATTCATTAGGTTGGTTCTAAGTGCTTATTTGATTCAGGCAAGACACTACGCAGTTGTCTGTTATAAATAATGTCTGCTGGGGTATTACTATATTCTAACAGCACTATAGAAATATCTGTTTCTGATTCTTGACTCTTTCTTATGATGTTCTTGCATATACCTACTGCCCTTTCTGCAAGACCATTCGACTTAGGGTAATGACTAGATGTTTGCAGACTATGGCGGAATTATGGAACTCTGCATTGTTAAATAGCATATTATCATCAATTAAAATTAAAGACATTCCAAAATTAGCAAATATTTGTTTTAGCTTATCGATTACCTCCCTAGATTTTTTTAATTCTAACATTTCCAATTCTCTTCAATTAGAGTAATAATCTACCAGTACTAAATAATCTCTTCCTCCAAAAGTTAATGTGTCGCATCCAACTTTGCTAGAAGGACGATTAGGCCTGTCATGCTGAATTAAAGGTTCTTTTACTTGCTTGCGCGAATACTTCAGACAAGTATCACATTTAGAAATATACTCCACAATATTCGACCTCATACCTTGAAAATAAAAAACTTTTCTTGCTCTAGCTTTTGTTTTTTCCATTCCCAAGTGTGCAATGTGTAACTGAGAAAGCCTAAGATTTTGTAAACTCTTGGGAATCACTAGTCTGTCATATGTTTCATTCCTCAACAGCTTGCAGTGATTTTGGAATGCTTCCACAACTTGTTCAAAATCTTTCTTATCCGCAACACTAAGGTTAAAGGTCATACACTTCTTCCCAGCTTCATCTCCGGTATGAATCAACAACATTGCTACTTTTGTGTCCCCATCTAAACCTGTTGCTTTTAAATAGATGTCAAGACTTCTTAGGAAGTTATGTAACTTCACATGGATATTCTTGTCATATATTAAACTTTTTGGTGGCTTAAACATTTCTTCCATTTTAATTTTTAGGTTATCTTCTTACTTTTTAGGTTAAGTTATTTTTACGATTTTTACTTACTGTTATTACGACTCTGATGTAGTACATTCAAACCTGACACCATGTCTTATATGCTTATATCAGCATATTAATAAACATTCCTTGTTTTAATTATTATTTGAGTTTATTCTTAATACGTACATGCCCCAGTGACGTCTAGATTTTTAGGAGAGCGAGAGACCTCATGCGGTGCTTCAACAAACTATCTAAAGCAGCTCACACACTAAGTTAAGGCTGTATGAGACAATTATATTTATTTTGTGAGGGAAATATCGTACTTACTCCCTTACTTCATTGAGTAGCAATCATTGTCACCGTCCTATAATTCAGGTGACAAAAAAAGGAAAATACCTGCCAGGGAGCATCGATTCCGGAGCACTTCTATAGCAGGGCTATTATCTACCTTTTTTCCCTGAAGTTTCTTTTTGGCGGGTAGGTTTTTATCCGTTCTGGGAGAATGAAGTCATCATCGATTTTGTATTAACGTCATCCTCGTCCAGTTGATGCCGGAAGATTATCAATTAAAAGCAGGACATTACTTGGGATTTTGTATAATATAAAGCGAGTTGCATTAAGGCTCTATCGGTATTTGTTATTTTGCTGGGTAGAGTGACTTTTCACAAGAGGATTGATAAGTCAGCTGAAAGTAAGTATAAAATTCAGGCTAATACTATACAGGGTGTTAAGATTATTTCTTGGGCAATTGGAAAAAATATTCATATAGACATACGTCTATAGTCGTATATCTCTGTGCTACTGATGCATCAAATGACATGGTAAAATGGGATTACTACCCTTATATACTACATAAAATATTCTAGGTCAAATTTCACTAATTCCAACAGGTTTCCATAGCAGAACGGATTTAAACTGAAACATTTTATTCACAACAAAGGTAAATCATTTGCGATCAAATGCTTTAGTTAAAAATGCAAGAGATCTAATCTACCTTTAGAGTCAAGTCTACCTGAAGAGCACAAAATCGGACGAAGTATTATAACAGGCAGGATCCTTGTACAAGTCAAAGTAGTCAAAAACGGAAAATGGAATGCATACATTTTTTATATAACAGCTCAACGTTGAGAAACTGGGGGTGTTGATACTCACTAGAAAAGTACAACCATATCTCTTCATTAGAGTGAAACGTTAAGTTTCATTTCAAGAACAAAATTAAGTAGTATGATGGGAGTTGCCAACCTTTTGCGGTTTCATATGAAGCATTTAAACAACTGTTGTGAATCAGCAAGTGGATCAGACGGTTCTGAAACACCAGCAAAGGAGCTAGAGGGAAAGAAATTGATATCTAATCAGCATATTAAGGCGGCTCCGACGCAGTAAGTTTACAAGGGTTCAGCTGCTTCTAAACTGATGCTCTATTTTTCAATATTTTTGAATGAAATTCATGCAGTATGTTCAGAAGATAATTGCCCAGGGTGCTATAGGAGCACTTTTTGAAGTTTTGTTTTTGCACAAGTTTTATGTTATGATGGGTTGAAGTGCGCACTTTTTCTGTTAATTTTTTTTAAAAGAATCTAGTGAAAAAATTGAAAAAGTGGCTCTATAGCACCCTGTGAGGTTTTGTTTTCAGCAGACTATGAAAATTTCATTCAAAAATATCAAAAAGTAAAGCGTCACTATTGAAGCGCGCAAACCTCTACAAATCGTATTTTGGACGAATTTTGTCTACTGTTTCGTGCTGCCAACTCAAGCATTGTGGCGCAATGTACGGACTAAGAATGGACGTATTCAGATAATTTGGTGGCCCTGTTCCATATAATATCGCATAGATAAGTCGTTCTGAAAATAGGCATGCATAATCGCGATCGCTGATACTCCTCGATTTTAAAGCCGTTTTACTTCCCATGCCAGCGGCGAGGAAGGCGACACAAAGTACAGTCCTGTGATTTGGTGACTTGTTCGATCTGCAAAATCTCGTCGTCACTTTTTTTAAGTTTCCCCTTAAATTCTTGCTTAGCAACCTCCAAATCAATGTCGTTCATGTCAAGTCTTTGACATAAGTCGCCATAAAACTATTCATTTTCTTTAAACTCACTGCATTCGTAATTAAAATGGTCGCATATGACCTTTTATTGTCCATTATCAACCTTGATAAAAAAAGGCACTCAAGAACAGTCACACCAAAAAGAGTACAGCACAACAATTCAACAACACAATATCGACGAACAGTAACAAGGGGAGAAAAATACTAAATGATCACTTGCTGAGTACCAAAATAGGAAACGATTTACAGGCTAGATCGCTAATCGAAATCCGACTCTGTTATTATAAAAATTCACCTTGGTATGCACCCGCAGTCATCCTTTTCTCTTTCATAGTAGCGCCGACAACCGTCTAAGGCCAGCCCACCGTCGTTTCCTTTACACCCGCCCGTTTCCTCAGCAGATGGTGCTCGTGATTGTAGGAGCCCCGTTAATATAAATATCACCAACGTTCGTGGATGTTACACTAGGATTCGTTAAAATATTACTATTCATCGAGCTATGAAGAAAATAAATAAATAAATGTGTTTCTGTAATAACCCAAACTTTATATATATATATATAACTTGAGACGTGGTCATTGTGGTCTAGACCAGTTAGGTGAAAAATTAAAGCTTCCGCCTTTTGTTGGGTATTTCGACAAAATTTAAGCAAAGAGGACTCTTTATACTTTTTAATTCTCTCTAGCTTTCAATGGACTTTGCCCACATCATCAGGAGCTGCAATTACAATAACAGTAGTAACAATAGTGTAAAATCAATTTAAATTGACTTAACTTACAGTAGTATGTGAGGATGTTGCTAATTGTTGTTTACGTATAGGATGAGGGAAACGTCCAGTAACATGGTGAAAGCTGGATAGATGGTACAATGGTCAAAATTATATAAAATATGACAAGAACAAGTTAAAAACAGATGAAATTTTTTTTAAAACATGAAAGCATTACATCGTGAAGCCACTTGATAATTGCATAAAATGGTGATCATGGAGTAATGAGTGAGTTGAACCCTTTGACAGAAGGCCGAAGGTTGTCAATGTCTGTGTAGAAAGATGGAACGAATTGTGGGCGTGTGACCAACGTTGCCAAATCACTTCAGATGATGTGATTTCAGAATGTTATGTAAGAAATTGTTAAACCGACCAGAGGCAGTTGCATTAACTGTATTTTAATTAATGGGAAATTAAATTAACAATTATCATTAAATCGTGAGAAGAAAATTATTAGAATTTGAGTGGAATGAAGTTTATTGGTGGAATCGACCAAGAAACAGATTCCATTTATGGTTGTGAAGAGTCAAAATTTGGGGAGATATGTAAGTTCTCCAATTTTTCGCAGTTTAGCAAATATGAGTAAATGACACTCAGTTGCTTAACATCTGTCTTTTTGTTGATACAGTTGTTATTCATGAAAATGTGGGACATTTCCAGGAATAAACATTTGGAAAGGTGTTTTTCTTTATCAAAAACTTTGTTACTTGTGTAATGCTTAGAATGCCCTGTTGTGTTAACATGAGATGCTAGAGCGCATCTTTCAGGATGAAGCCTAGCATCACCTTTGTGTGATGTAATCCTTCCTTTAAGAGATCTGGAGGTCTGACCTATGTATATTTGGCTGCACATGCAGACACTCTGGACACGCCTTAGCAATAATGAGAAATGTTTTGCCTTAGATCACTAATCGTATGAGGATTATTTCTATAGACATTCTCCTTGCAGAATCCCTGCAAAGAATTCCATGCAGAGTTAGATTGCACGATTTCGCAAACCAGTGACAATTGACAAGTTTTTCTCGCAATAAAAGAGAGGCTCTCTGTTAAAAGAAAACAATGTCAAGTTGATCTGAGGTCACCAAAAATCCATATTTGCGGTAACGCTTGCCAGGAACATCCGCCGTCCCACCATCACAGTTTTGATGCAAAAATTCTAATGCGCAGTTATGATGCACTTCTCCGTTGCAAAATGATCTGTAATTGAATCCTAGATTCTGGGTCAAATTGTTGAAATACTTGTATAGGGCTAATTATTTATAACAATTGGCTTTGATGTGACTTATTGCGACAGTCTTTATTTCAGCATCAACGCGTCCTAATTGGAAATCCTGTTATTTTAGTAGCTGGCCAATAGAGAATGTGCATTTACTCAAATGTCGCTTACATATTTTATTTACAGTCTATACCGCTAGATAATGGCGCCTAATCTCGTACTACATTTGAGCTCTATAAAATTAAGAGTGCCAATAAAGATGTACAAAATACGCGGTAAATTTACAAAGCCGGAACGTGACGTGACCATTACTTGCCACTTGGGACCAGCCTAGTCAATCCAATTCCAAATTTTAGGTATTTGTTCTTACTGTTATTGACTGCCAACCTATCAGTTTGATATTCCAGCTTTGCAATAGAGATTTTTTCCCGAGAGAAAATATTTGAATGGAGCATTGACGGACAGAATTTCCCACTCCTCTCGAACGACAGTTTCAAGATACATCAGGAGTGGATAGGTGGCGAACGTAGCGCAAAATTTTTCCTTTAAGCCCCTTGATAGTCTTAACTTCTCGCTTTGAATCTGAAATAAAAGACCGATCATTCTCTGTCCAATATACAGGGTGTTTCAGTTTATTGTTGCATAACTTTGAGATTCGATAGAACTTTTAAAATTAATGCATAAAGTCTATATAAACATGGGTCGAAAAATGCGTGGCTTTCTAAAATAGTTTTTTTAAATATTTTGAACAATATTTGATGTATAACAGTGAAAATTGGTATACAAGGGTATTTTGGTACGACAAAACGAACCATAGTTTTACTGTAGCCGCTAGAGGCCGCTCTTAGTGCAATTTTTTACTTTTTGAATAAAAAAAACTGATTCTTTGCACTTTTCAACATAAAAAAGCTCTCTTGTGAATTTTCGCTATAGTTAGCCGTTTTGAGATATTTCGATTTTTAAGGTTCGATGCATTTTTAATTATTTATGGGAAAATAATATTTTTTTTACAATTTCCAAGCCTAAATCGAGACAAAATGAATAATCAGTGTTTCTACGAAAATTATAAGTAGAAGATTAAATGATTTAAAGTTATATGCACGTCGCATCGCCCAAGTAAGAAGCCGCTAATCTCAGGGAAAAACCGTAAGGACCGATTACAATTTGCAGGGTTGCATGTTGATTGGAGCATCTGTGACTGGAAGAGGGTATGTTCCTGTGACGAATCCAAGTTCAATATGTTTGGATCAGATGGTGTTCATTACTTTAGATGTCCTAGTGGACGAAGGTTGAACCTCTAGTACACTTTGCCCACTGTAAAACATGGAGGTGGGTCTGTTATCGTTTGGGGGTACTTTTCGGGGTTTGGGATGGAACCTTACATAGAATAGATGGCATTATGGATAAGTTTGTATACACAGACATACTAATATATGGAAGACAATATGCCCTTAAGATCAATCTTCCAGCAAGATGATGACCCGAAGCACACTTCAAATCTCTTCCTGGATGAGAAAATACCAGTTCTCAAATGGCTTTCACAGTCTTCTGATATATTGAAGATCTATGGGAATACTCAGATAAGCAAATACGAGATAAGAATTATTCATACAAGGATGAACTTTTTGCCGCTTTAGAGCAAAAGTGGAGATTGATGAACCTTATATCAAGAAACTTCTACAATCTATTCCGAGACGATGCCAGGCGGTGATTGACAATAATGTTTATTCTACAAAATATTAACACAAACATGGTTGGTTTTCTGTAATTCAATGAACTTGGCTTCTTTTTTCTATAATTGTTTTGCTTTGTCTATATATCTTTGTCCTTCATAGTTCCAGTTTCTTTCAATTAATTTTTTATTGAAGGGAGTCTAATGAATTTATTTGTGTAAGTGAGTGTTATGCTATAACGAATTATGTATACCGGTTGGTGTATTAATAAAACAAGTTGAAAAAGAAATTCAGCACAATACTAATTTGTCTATATACTTTTGTCCATTACTGTAGGTGTTACCTTTTTTGTCACTAGTATATTTATAACATCCTATTCATTATATAGTCTTTACAGCTCTAAACAAAAACGCCGCCGCCTAGGCTTCTTAGGCTTCCCAAGACCGGGGCTCCAGCTTTCCATGCATAGCACCAAGCACATCTACAGGTTATCCAAATTAAGTGTCCACCATTAGTAACTTTGTTATTAGTGAAAATACAAAGTTGTTTGAAATTAGCAAACTAGTAGCATTTTTACGCTGGTAAAAATGAGAAATAAAAAAAAACAATTGAGAGTCGTTATTTTGATTTTTTTCAGTAAAATAACATTTTTTTTAATGGAAACCCCTGTATATTATATTTTTTCTGTTAAAGCATCAAATTTTAAACAAAAAAGCTTACAATAAACTTTTCTCCTAGGTTACAAATTGTTGAAGTTATGGCCTCCAATCTGAACAATTAAATTGTATCGACAAACTTTATTTCAACATCAACTTATAATCTTACAAAATACAATAACAAGTTTTTTTTAAAGAAAATGCTCGAAAACACCACCTTGTTCTTCAATACATTTTTGGGCACGTTTTTCAACTGCTCGAACTGTCTTAAGTATGGTCCTACCATCTATCTGGGTTATCTTTTCCCTAACTGCAGTCTTTAACGCGTCAAGGTTATCGTACCTTCGCTTGTAAATTTGGTTCTTTAAGTAACCCCACAAGAAGTAATCAAGTGGGTTTAGATCTGGTGATCTGGGAGGCCACTGTATTGGGCCATTTGTTCCTATCCACTGATCATTAAAAGTAGTACTTAGAAAATGATAAGTACCTCTGGAGTTGTGGGCAGGTGCGCCATCTTGCTGAAAATGCAGATGATGTCTACTTATAAGATCCAATTCGTCTAAGAAATTAGTCAGAATTTCTGACATAAATTCCACATATCTTTCACCAGTTAGGGTTCCCTCATAAAAGAACGGGCCAACAATTTTTGAACCAATTATACCGCACCAAACGTTGAAACTGAAACGGACTTGTGGGCCTCTTGGATGTACTAACAAAAGATTTTCTCTTGACCAATAATGGTGGTTTTTTCTATTAAACATTCCAGAATTTGAAAAATTTGATTCATCTGTCCATAAAAGGTAACGAAAGTTATTTACATTTTGGCGACAGAAGCTAAGATACCAATGGCAAAAAACAAGTCTTCTCTCTGGATCCCCT